GTTATTTCCGACCCTATAAATCATATATATTCTTGATCAGCACAAAAAGCTGAGTCGATCTAGCCAAGTTTAAGCAGAAAACAAATTTTTTAATTTTTTTTTTATTTTTGAGGTCTTAAAATGGTTCAATTGTCAAAGAAGAAATTGGCAAAAATTTCAATTTTCTAAAATGTGAAATTTAGTATGCAGTTTCGTTACCCTAGAAAAAACTAGCACAGAAAAGCTTTCCGAATTGAATTTGATGCTTTTTTGGCTTAGTTATGATAGATTTTTGATTGAATGACCGATCCTATGGCAAACAGCAAGGGTATACAAATTTCGGGCTTCCGAAGTTAGTTTCCTTTCTTGTTTTTTAATAATTAAAGCTATTTTCAGAGTGAAAACTAACTTTTTTTCGTCTGCTCTTGCTTGTACTTGGCAGGCAAAGCATGGAAGGTAGAGCGTAGGTAAAAATATATAATAAAATTGTATTTTATTTAAACTGTAGATTGTTTTTACTAACGACCAAAAATCGCAGTCCTTGAAACCGCAAACATCAAACTTCAATTACCATTGCCCAGATTTGGTATGGTCGAATTTTTCTCCCATCTTGTATCTATATACACCTATGTATATACCCTCCCTATACCCTATCCCCCTCCTATATCTAAGCCCCGAACAAACACCGATGGCATCCAATGGACGAGCCGTTACAATTCATCAAACAAGCGAATGGATATTACTTCATCGAGTGCTATATTAAATACTTGAACCGAGCGAACGGACAACGAACGAAATTGTCAACGGAAAAGCAATCGAAACGACCTCAAAACGGGTGGGGACCCCCCTGGGGGGGAGAGCAGGGCTTTGCTGCGAGCTTGAAACAAAAGTAAATTGCAATAAAAGTTTTGTAATTGACAAACGGACAACAAACAAAACTCCACTCCAGTTCAGTTGCTGCTGGACAGAAGCTGCTCGGCCAGCGGATGAAGGGATGTGGTTTGGGAGGGGGCCTCATGTTGGGCTTCAGGGGGTTAAGGGGGGACACAACACTGAAGCACTGAAGTCTGTCCTCCTGTCGGCAGCTAAACAACTGGCGCTGGCATCAACAAAAACCGATTTTCCAAAAAAGCAGGAAGCGGCCAGAGGAGAGGCCCAGTTTGGGGCATGTTATCAATACACTGGAAGAAAAGAAATGTGGGGTTTTAAAAACAAAAAATATCTAGAATCATGTTCAGAACGTAAATACCTTTTTGTTAATTTCTTAATATTTTTTTTTATATAGGTAAATTCAAACATTGTTCTTGAAATTTTGAAATTTTTTTCTTTTTTTCAGTGTTGTTACCAGCCTCTCCCCTTTGGTGGCGGCTTCTGTCTCATCATTTCGTACATTTGCGCCCGCATATTGACTTTGACCAGAGCGAGGCGAGGCCCACAAACGATTCACGGATTTAAGAAATAAAAGTTTAGTGCTCCGGCGAGCAAATCTGTAGCCACCAATGCCAAAACAGCACCAGACTGAGGCGCACACAGGACGCAGGACATGGACATTCTAGGAGGAGAGGCTGCCCTCTGTCAAAGCAAACAAAAGACGCGTCTGTGGTCGTCGCTACCCCCACCGAAAAACCACACTCGGCGCCATTACCCCCCGAAACCACCCACTTTGCCCCCAGCTGTCGAACGCAAAATGTCATTGCACTGAAAGAAAAGTATAGACATGAAATAAGACTTAATTTGTTGTACTTTTAGAACATAAACAAAACTATATAAAGTCTAGTTGATATCTTACAATTTGAAATTGAAATTTGTAATCCTTAGAATAATAAAATAAATTTCTTATAAAGACTTATGTCAGTTTTTTTCTCTGTGCATTTGTCCTGGGGCCTGTGACTTGTTGGATGTCAGTGACAGTATCTGGAATCCAAATCGGAATCGCAATCGGAATAGAAACAGGCGAATGCAGGAATTCACTGAGCTGCAGGGCTCATTGGGCACGAGTAAATAGACTTTCGCGATTTTGCCTAAAGCTAAAGAAATATCAAAATGAAAGGGAGGGTGTCATAGTCATAACTTAAATAAATTAAATTTTTAAAATAATATTTTAGACTGTATAACATTTAAAGATGTTGAAAGCCGATGCCGAAATGTATGTTGTAAGCTGTTTAAAGTCTACTTTTGGGCACATTTTAAAAGGATTTCAAAACATACAATTTCTTTAAAAATGCAAAATTTATAAAACTATTTTTTTCCTTTAAAAATAATTTTTTTAAGTATTTCAAAGCGATAAATAACTTATAAAAGTTGGTTATAAATTGATTTAAAAACCATTAGCATTAATTTAACCTACTTAGCCACATTCCTTGTGATATTTTCTTTTTTAAAACCAAAACTAAAAGAAAATACTTATGAAAATGCAATTTAAAACAATTTGTCAACGACACAGGCGGCCCCCAAGAACCGGACAGAGCTGGGAATCCGCAAAGGAAACAGAGAGAGGGAGTACAAAAGGAAACCGAAAATGTGAAAATGAAAATAATAATGAAAGTATGAATTATGAACTTATGCGCGCCAGACCCGAAGGACCTTGCACTATGTGCCAACCACCCACCCACTCTTTGTGTGGAACGTGAGTGGAAAGCGAATATTCTGTGGCATAAAAATGATTGTGTATGTTAAGTTTGGCACGCGCCACGCCTACAATAAACCGCAGGAGTCTCCCGAGATGGTGATAGAGTGCCCACAAAAAGTATGCAACATATTTCACAGTTCGAGGCAGATGGCGAAAAGGACAAAACAGACCCCAGGGAGAGACCACTGTCACCACAGACTCACGCCCACTCCACACTCGAAGAGCGTGACTGTTGGCCAGAGTCACGGGATTTGAGAGAAGGCTTTCCCCAAAGTAACTTCTAGAAGGAGTTACTTACTGATTTATTAGTTTTTTTTTTTTTAATTACCATGAAAACCCTTCAAGTCTAGAAGCTAGTGTTACAAGTGCCCCATTTTACAACCCCAACGTGTCTCAGATTTGACAACTTCAATAGCTGACATACTAGCATACATAATACTCGCAATGAATAAATATAGAATCGAATAAATATGCGGAAATGGGGCGAAAATATATATGTAAAGTGACGACAGAGCGGGACAAAGCTAGGCAAAATCGGCACGCATTCGACGTGTCAAAGTGGCAATTCTTTATTTACATAACGCCCCCACTCACAGCCCCTCCCCCCACGCAGGGTGATGAATGACAAGAACAACAATGGCAGCTCTCATGGCTCTGGTCACATTTGCGTGCGAGCGAGACGTGATCAGCATGCGGAAATGGCGGCGAAAAAGTGTGGCCATGGCACAGGTAAAAATGTTTTGACATTTGTCAAACGACAGTTGACTGTACACTGAAAGAAACATTAGCCCAGAATAATAAAAAAGTATTTGAAGAGCATTTAAAAAACCCTCTCGTTGGGGAACGAGTGCTCGTTTGCTTGTACTTTGCAGGCCAAGCTTGGGAAAGGGAGAAAAATACTTAAAGTATATTTCCAAAGAGTAATTTTTCGAGTGCATTCTTTGTTGATATAAAGCCACCAAGTTGTGCTCTCTTATTTATCAACAGATTAGCAGGCAGTTTCAGTGACGCGTTCTGCCGGGCCTAATGGATCATGAAATCGCAATAAGCATGCCACAGAAAGCGTGTCCATCTTTTGCGACTCCTTTCCCTGCAATATATTTAAAGAATTTACACCATTTTTCCCTTCAGACTCCAAATAGACTCCGCTTGATCAAGATGGGTTTTCCCTGGTTGCTAACTCTATTCATTTTTTGGCAATTTGCTGCACCTTCAATCGCTGTAAGTAATTAAGACTGGATAACTTTACATATAATTTGTTTTACGCATCTTATTTTTATAAATTATATTTGAATAGTATAGAAGAAGCAATAGCAATGCGAATAAGAACAAAATAAATATAGATGGGCTTGGGCTTGGAAACGGTGAAAATAACGATGGAACCAACACTGCAGACAGTGACCGCATCTACCACCACCACCACTACCACAAGCAGCCCAGAAGGTGGCTCCAGCTCCACCTGCTTCTTCTGGAGGGCCCCCCAAATAATTCCAAAAACTAGTTAGTATTCTATCCTATATATTTAAATAGTGAAATCCCTTAATTTTGATATTTCATATGTATAGTTCTGTATATCAGGTATTACCAAATCGCTCTTAGGATAGGTACTCCAGGAAGCTTATATCTAAATGGATATTTTGAAAAGGTAAAACAGTTTGGAATTTCTATTTGAACAAAGCTATAAATAAATTTGGTCACAACCATTGCGTGACTTCTTCTCTGATGTGGGGAGGGTTCAATCGGAGTATGCAAATTCATATTTTAATTTTTACGAAAATTATACGCTTAATCATTTCACATTTTATATGATAATATATGGTAATTGTTAGTCGCTAGCTCTGCCTTTGGCATGTAAATGTTTGGTCTATTGCATGCTGACCATTTGTTGTTTGCAAAACAGATGCCATTGTGATTGGTAAATGTCCTCCCTCTGCTACAATTCCATTGACTTGATTGGTTTTGGTCTATAAAAGTTAAACCTAAAAGCGCTTGTTCCTTCTTTACTTATACTTTGCAGGGAAAGCGTGGAAACGAGAGAAAATAAGATACAAAGTCTTTCGTGGATCCGTCCAGGGGACCGAAAATCAAAATCATTCCAAACAAGAGCGCAGAACTTAAAATCCTTTGATTTTTGTTAAACCCGATCCTCTGACAATGGGTTATTTGATAGCTTATATATTTTAAGGGAAATTTTTATTTTTCAACATCAAAGGATAAAGAAATCACACCTGCTGCGCCATACGCTTACATAATGTTGAATTTATAAATCCATATTTACATCATTAAGCAAAGCCAATGGCAATTTTCATGCCAAATACCTCAATTATTTCGGTGGCTTTGCAAATTTTAAGGGTCACTTTCGCTTATATAAAAAATGAATTGAGTCAATCTAATACTATTGGCTCCGTCAGTGTTCCGAATAGCTTTAAAGCCTTAACACCATTTTTCCCTTCAGACTCCATATAGACTCCGCTTAATCAAGATGGGTTTTCCCTGGTGGCTATCTCTATTCATTTTTTGGCAATTTGCTGCACCTTCAATCGCCGATGTAATTAGCACTCAATTTTATATTTCACTATTATCTTATTATTGTAAATTATATTTGAAATCTCCCAGGATTACGATAATATCAATATGAATGAGAATCTTATAGTTATTGATGGGACCGTAAATGAGGAAACTACAACTACAACTACAACCACAACCACAACCACAACCACAACTCCACCTCCGCCTCCACCACCACCAGGAGCTCCACCTGCTTTTGCATGGCGAACCACCCTATTTCCGAAACTAGTTAGTATTCTTTACTCTATATTTAAATTGTGAAATCTCTTAATTCAGATATGTCAAAATTAATATTTCTTTATTTCAGACATTCCCAACTCGTGCTTAAGATAGGAACTCCAGAAAGCTTATATCTACTCAGATTTTTTGAAAATACAAAACAGTTGGCAATTTCTATTTGAACAAAGCGATAAATAAATTTGTTGTTTGGTTTCGGGCACAACCATTGCGTGCCTTTTCTCTTCTGATGTGGGTAGGGTTCAATCGGAACATGCAAATTCATATTTTAATTTTATGCAAATTATACGCTGATTATGCTGTCAGCATCAACAGGGGCTTACATACATCCAAATGAAATGCCAGTCCACTCTCTTGTGGTTCTTGCTTAATCATTTCACATTTTATAACATTTTATATGGTAATATATGGTAATTGTTGCTCGCTGGCTATTGCATGTTGACCATTTGTTGTTTGCAAAACAGATGCCATTGTGATTGGGAAAAGTCCTCCCTCTGCTGCAATTCCATTGACTTGATTGGTTTTGGTCTATAAAGTGTTTGTGTGTTGGCAAGCGACTTTGCGGTTTAATAATTCAACCTTGGCTAACTGATGGTAACGCTTTAGGTTTTATAATTAATAACTAATAGAGAGAGAGTTTACATGATATTTTAGCTGTTTAGAATAAAAGGAATCTCGATGGGAGAGAAAAATATTTAGTTAAAGTTAAACTTAAAAGCGTTTGTTCCTTCTTTGCTTATACTTGGCAGGCAAAGCATGGAAAAGCGAGAAAATAAGATAGAAAATCTTTCAAGGAACAGTCCCGTAGACCGAAAATCAAAATCATTCCGAACGAGAGCGCAGGACTTAAGATTTTTTGATTTCCTTTTTAGCCGTATCCTCTGACAATGTGTAATTTGACCTCTAAATTCTAGAGGTTAAAGGAAATTTTGTATATTTTAACATAAAAGTATAAAGAAATCAGACCTGCTGTGCCATATATTATATAATGTTGAATTTATAAATCCATAATTACATCATTAGCCAATCTAATGGCAATTTCCATGCCAAATATCACAATTATTTCTGTGGCTTTGCAAATGTTAAGGTTCACTTTTGCTTATGTAAAAAAGTTATTGAGTTAAGTTAATGCAATTTGGTCCGTCAGTGTTCCCAATAGCTTCACGACAATCGGGATGGCGTCTCCTTGGTTATTAGTATTGTTCCTTCCCTGGCAGTTCACAACGGAGCCATATGTAAGAATACATAACTTACCACCTATAAAAATATATATTAAATATACATTTCATTGGTATCTCCCTAAGGTTTCGAATTACGTTACATCCGATCTAAACCAATATTTAAGGACTGATCGTTTTAAAAGTCCCAATAATGTAAACACAAATACAAATCGCATAAACATCCCAAACATTAACATCAGTCTGGCATTATTGCCTGGTGATCTTGGAGGTCCTGGCGGATCTGGTCAACCAAATAATGGAGGCTCTCCGGTAATGTCTGATCTTCTGATTCAAAGTTAATATAATCCAAGAGAATCCTTTAAAGAGTCCTCCCGGTTCATCTGGCTCATCAAATGGTGCAAATCCGTCAACAGATTCTGTTGCTGGTCAACCAAATAATGGAGGTTCTCCGGTAAAGTTTGATTTACTTATCCTAAATTTAATATAATCAAAGAGAATCCTTTAAAGAATCCTCCCGGTTCATCTGGCTCATCAAATGGTGCAAATCCGTCACCAGATTCTGGATCTGGTCAAGCAAATAATGGAGGCTCTCCGGTAAAGTCTGATTTACTGATCCTAAATTTAATATAATCCTAGAGAATCCTTTAAAGAGTCCTCCCGGTTCATCTGGCTCATCAAATGGTGTAAATCCGTCACCAGATTCTGGATCTGGTCAACCAAATAAAGGAGGCTCTCCGGTAAAGTCTGATTTACTGATCCTAAATTTAATATAATCCTAGAGAATCCTTTAAAGAGTCCTCCCGGTTCATCTGGCTCATCAAATGGTGTAAATCCGTCACCAGATTCTGGATCTGGTCAACCAAATAATGGAGGTTCTCCGGTAAAGTCTGATTTACTGATCCTAAATTTAATATAATCCTAGAGAATCCTTTAAAGAGTCCTCCCGGTTCATCTGGCTCATCAAATGGTGTAAATCCGTCACCAGATTCTGGATCTGGTCAAGCAAATAATGGAGGCTCTCCGGTAAAGTCTGATTTACTGATCCCAAATTTAATATAATCCTAGAGAATCCTTTAAAGAGTCCTCCCGGTTCATCTGGCTCATCAAATGGTGCAAATCCGTCAACAGATTCTGGATCTGCTCAACCAAATAATGAAGTCTCTCCGGTAATGTCTGATCTTCTCATTTAAAGTTAATATAATCCAAGAGAATCCTTTAAAGAGTCCTCCCGGTTCATCTGGCTCATCAAATGGTGCAAATCCGTCAACAAATTCTGGATCTGCTCAACCAAATAAAGGAGGATCTCCGGTAAAGTCTGATTTACTGATCCCAAATTTAATATAATCCTAGAGAATCCTTTAAAGAGTCCTCCCGGTTCATCTGGCCCATCAAGTGGTGCAAATCCGTCAACAGATTCTGGATCTGCTCAACCAAATAATGGAGGCTCTCCGGTAAAGTTTGATCTACTGATTCTAAGTTAATATAATCAAAGAGGATCCTTTAAAGAGTCCTCCCGGTTCATCTGGCTCATCAAATGGTGCAAAACCGCCAAAAGGTTCTGGGACTGGTCTACCAAATAATTATCCAAATCCGCCAAATATTGGAAGCAATGTGAAGCCTAATCCTGGCTCACCAAATGGTATAGGTCCTAATTTAATAGAAGGGCTTGGTTCGTTCCCTAAACTTAATCCAAACCACCCAAACATTGGGAATAATTTCGGACCTAATCTTGCCTTACCACAAAATGTTATAGATCCGATTACAGGTCTACCAACAGCGGGAGACGGTCAGGTAAAGTGATATTCTCATATATTTATTTCAATCAAATCTAAGGGTAGTATTATACATCTATTTAAGATTGCAAACCCAAGTCGGCCTGATATTGCAGATGTGGATATTGCAAGTCTAGACGCCTTAAATCTTACAGCTCTCCCAACACTTCCAAAGCTTAATATATCACGACCATCACTTCCCTCTATAATGGGCCCAAATATTGGAAATAAGTTTAGACCAATTCCTCCTGGTTCATCTGTGAATCCTAATCCTAACTTAACAAATGGCATAGATCCTATTACAGGTCAACCCGTTATTGGAGGCGTTCAGGTAAAGTGATATTCTGATATTCATTTTAATGAAATATAATGGATGTATTATACATATTTCTCTTAAAGTTTCCATCACCAAATGTTGCCAGCCCTCCAGGTGTGAATATTTCACCGCCGGAAGAATTACATCTTTTACCTCCCCCAACACCTCCTAAGCTTGTTATACCTCGACCATCACTTCCTGCTTTGGTGCTCCCTAAACTGTTCCCAAAAACCTAAAAAAAATATTGGGAATAAATTGGTACCTAAAAAAATTAAATCTACTGATTCGGAATTTAATAAAGTCTAAGTAAAATATTTTATATCCTTCACAGAACTCCTCCTTGCTGGATTGAGAGTCAAAATCCTGGCCAATAAAAAGAGCCACAGCATATAAAATGACTTTAATTCTTGTAATTATATGTAAAGGTCTTGGTATTAAATAGTTAATCATTGCAAAAAGTTGAACTCATGTTTTCATAACTGAACCGTTTATTGCAGGAATAATCGAAAACGAAGCTAAATCTTCTCTAATTAATTTCGCATTCCCTTCATTGATTGCCGATTTAAAACAATGGAAATTTCTAGACCATAGAGGTCCTTATGGGTCCTTGCCATACGAAATTCAATTCCATTAATAATACAAACTTAAATTAAGCCTCGGTACCCGGGACGCGTCACTATCAGGCCATGGCAGGCGGCATTGGGTAACAGCAGGTCCTGCCACATCCGACAAATGCAATGCGGGAAGCGTCAACAACAACAACAACAACATTAACAAGGATAACAGCAACAACAGCCAGGACAACAGCAATTCGCAGCGGCATAGTCAAAATATCTAACGTACAACAGCTGGAAGACAAAGCAAAGGCGACCAAATCAACGGCAACGGATGCGAGAATGTTTATGCCCATTATGAACAAGCGTCGGTTGTGTGTGTACACTGGGAGAAACGAACACAGTCCTGGTAAAGTTAAATAATAAAAAAAATTAATAGTAAGACTTAGAGCAAGAAAAGTTAGTGGAATCAAATCAATGTTTATGTAGTTTTTTATTAAAAAGATAATATTAATAAGAAATTTTGACAGCTCTTTTGAGTTCCCTCTAATATATTTCACACTTTCTCTACCTCTTATGTACACAATTTTCTACCAGTGCATAAGCCGGCATTTGCCTTTGAACGTGTCAGTGTGTGGGGGCGCTCGAAATGGGCTGAATAAAGGGGTAAAGAGGCATTCCCATACTGTGTTATGCCCACCGCCTATATAAACGTTTTGTGCATAGCAAAATCTGTTTGCCGCAGGATCCGACCCAGTTGAAAATCCTTTCGAAATTATTCACGAAAATTATGTGTGCAAAAGCGAAAATTTGTGCACAGACGATGGGGACGACGACGACGAGGAATATTGCGCATACGACATGTGTTTGGCATATATTTAAATCAGGGCACGTAATCATTATAAGTGAAAAAATAAAAATCAACGATTAATGATTATCTATTGATTTTAATATATTTCGCTTGCCATTAATAATTATAATTTTATTTTACTTCATCGCTCAAAGAATAATAATTATTATTTTGAGCGAAAATATTTCGATCAAAAAATAATGATCATTTTTTGAGCGATATTTTTCGCTCAGAATTTCGCTCAATGTGTAATAACTTCTTTCTCAGAGGGGTCTTCGAAAAATTTTTTACATGCTTCTATGAATCGAATCGTACGTTTTTGATCCATAGAAGCATGTACAAATTTTTTCAAAGACCCCGCTGAGAAAATAGATATTACACTTTGAGCGAAATTCTGAGCGAAAAAATATCGCTCAAAAAATGATCATTATTTTTTGATCGAACTTTTTCGCTCAAAATAATAATTATTATTCTTTGAGCGAGTAAATAAAACTCAAAAATTAATAATTAAAATTGGTTTATTATATAAAAAATCTAGATTTCAGCAATCATTGGTTTTCTCGAAAGAGCATCCAAATTGTAGCCGTTTGGTATAATTCGTTTCTTTGTGCGACTTTTCTAAGTGAATGATTTTTTTGTTTAAAGAAAACATTGATAATCATTATTTACGGTCCCTGATTTAAATGAACGAAACGACGGAAGGCAGGCAGGATGGCATTGTCATTAGCCCAATTCGCAGATCGCTTTCAGTGAGTCCCATTTCATTTCCCATTTTTTCGTGTCCTTCCAATCATTTATCAAATGAGTTTTCATAGAATGTCACGCACTGCAATATCTGCTGAGAGGAAATCCTGTGAAATAAATGATGCCAGAGCCAGCTTGCATTGCAGTTTCCAGTTTCCAGTTTCAGTGTCATAAGTAAATCCCAGCGGGATAGAAAAATGACTAAGAACTACTACCAGTGACACTGGGTACAAGTTAAAGTTGCCCTCCCTCTGGCATTATTACATTGTTGCATAAGACAGGAGCTTGGGAGGAGATGGAACTGGGTGCTGCAGCCAATAAGTTCCCAGCCAGCAGCCGTTGCCACTGCAGCGAATATCCTTTCTGGCTCCTTGACATTTATGTACATGCGCGTATACGCTGCCGGGGCACTTACAACTTAAAGCTTTTAATAAAAATGTCAAGCGCATTGAAGTGCATTGAAGGCAGCAGCCGAATGTGCACAGTCACGGCTCCAAAAAGGTCGAACAGGCAACATATATCCTGGGATTTATTCTTTATTAGCAAATACAAGGGGCTTGAATGCGTAATAAAAGGGCATAGGTATCCTGTAAAGAGAGGTAACATTTGGAAGAAAAACATTGGTTATTGGGAGAATTTAAATGATTGTTAAATAAAATATATTTAAGCGGGGTGTTACCTTTATAAAATCAAAGGATAATTTAGAAATACGCTAAAGAGTTTTTATAAATTGAAAAGAAATTAAAGATATAGTCTCTGAATGTATACAAAAACTTTGAAGTTAAGCTGCAATATTTTCTATTGTTATAATTTTAAAAAAATTTAACTTAAAGTACTTTAAAATACCCTTAAAAACACCTTAAAAAACCCCTTTAAAAGCCTTGGGGTCTGACCTCCTTTCCAGGACTCATCTGTCAAATATATGTCACCAGAAATCAAGCTGCTCCTCGCATGTCCCTGCCTTTGTTTCACACGACTAGCTCTCGTTTGGATGTTGGCTAACCAACCTGGCCTTAGCCCCTGCCACCATACATACCCCTTGGCCCTTTTGTATTAGCTGCTAGTGGTGATGCAGTCAGCTGAAAAGGAGGTATGCAAACGTGTTTTCCTTGGCTGCTGACAGGATACTGGACCTGGGACCCTTTGCTGCTGACAATTTTATTGACAGCTCGACATTTAGATTGATTGCAGTTGCAGTTGCAGTTTGCGATAACAATACGTTTTCCTCCTCTCCCTCCACAATTTTCTTTAATTAAAAGTTTGGCCAAAATATTGTTTACTCTGGGAGAGAAAAAAACATTGTGGAATGTTGAGATATATATATGGATGGGATAGAAATATCTTGGTATGCAATTTGCTTAACTTTTGGCTTACTTTCTTCACAGAACCCTGGCTCTGCCTTTGTTGGCTGTTCTTTTATTCGGACAGGCAATCGTGCAAAACTATTTCAATTTTGGCAACACCCAAGTTAAGGGTTTGCTTTCTTTTTAATACAAAGTTTTTTATTGGAAAATTCTTGGCCAAAAATATAAATTACAGGTGAAATATGTAAGAAATTCAAGGGTTTTAAGGGGTTTTTAAATGAAGAAAATAACTCTATTTTTAGTTTAAGAACTGTTCCTAGCTTCAAAAATATCACTTAAAAAATTGTTTACACATTTAACAGTAGTAATTATAAATAATATCAATGACCTTTTACCCCTTATCCTTAATACCCTTTTCACTTCAAGTGTTTAAGCTTCAATTAATCGATATCCTTCGTTCCTTTTGATTACAAATTCCCACTTGTCAGCGACTTACTTAAGGCATCAACTCATCAATTCTCAGATAGACTCACAGATGCATTATCCTGCCAACACACACACACACACACACACAGACAAGACTGTTGACAATTGGAAAATGCCACCCCCCTTCCCCCCCAAACACACCAATAGCCTGGATATCCTTCCACTCGAAACTCAATGCGGCTGTAAATTATGCATACAAATTAGAAACTACCGTCATATGTGTAGGGGATGACGTAAACACAGAAATGTTGAATAATAACATTAATGAAAACAATGGACAGAGGGAGGAGGTGGAGGGGGAGGCGAGGAGGGGAAGACAGACAAGGGGGATAGGGGCTGGAAGGACACGGAAAAGGACAAACAGCTGCAGGAAGCAAAGGCAAGCAGAAAATTAAACAGAACAAAAGCAGTAGCTAAAGCAGATGGCGACAAGATAAACATAGACACTCATACGGTCTGCTTACACATGCATACACTGAGAGAAAATAGTGGTAAAATTATTTTTTAGTTGTATATTTTTTAAAGAATTTTTGCAGTATTTTTAAAGTTACTTAATAAAGGCTTCTTGGGCTTAATTTTTCAGTTACTATTTGCTTTATGTTTTTCTTGTTTTCTTCTCCCTTTCCTTCACCTAAAATTTTTCCCACTGCACCTGCAGCTTTGACAACAATCACAGTGAGCGCTAAAACAAAACAAACAGCAACAGCAAGCCCTATAAATTTGATCTGCTGCTTTACATTAAAAAACAAAGAGAGCTTCCTTAGACTTCTCAACAAAATAAAGGACCAAATCCCATCAGCTTTGATATGTCTGTTAAGTAATATTTGCTTGCCAACAAATAAATAAAAAGAATTTAGCAACAAATGAAACATTTAAATATACAATCTGTACTTGTATCTAGGGGATAAACTTTGGCAGGAGAAAAAAGGAAACTGTTTCTCTAAAGCTTGTAGTCTGTGCGATTATTTTTGCATGCCAACTAATTCCATCTTTTGTCCATTCCACAAAAGATACACCGAGTGTACACATTGTAAACTGTTTGTTGGTGTTTGTAAGGATAATAAAAAAGGTAAAAATAAAGTTGTGTCAGGAAAAGATTAAAGCAGAAATGTGTTAAGCATGTCAAAAGGAGTTTGTTTTGTTTGGAAATAAACAAGTTGCATAAACAGATTCGAGAATATGTTTCAAGAGCTTTAAACTATTATTTAAACTATTTGTTTGTTTTATAAGTTTAGATTAAATATTTATAGCTTAAAAACTAACTGAAAAACTTCACAAAACAACCCAAAAAAGCACTTATATATTTTTCAAACTAATAAATATTTTAGATGTATTTGCTATTAAACGCCTTAAACGAACTCTATATTTTACAGGTGAAAACCCTTTTAAATCCTTTCTAAAACCCCCTCAAAAACCCCCTTGAAGAGTCCCCCCATCAATTCCATGAATGAATCTCTAATTCCTCAACATTCTGATGGCCTTTTCGCAAGAAACTCTTTCATTTTCGGCTCTGCGGCTTT